CGAGTGGTAACTGAATACAAGGGATTAGCGTTTTACCTTTTGAAGATTTCGATGACTTACTTTCTCGCGATCACGCTGAGCTTGCAACTCTGCTGCCACAGCTGGGTCCACTGGCTTTTCAAGCATTTGCCGAACAGGCTTTTCCTGAAAATAGGGGATCTTTTGGATGATATAGCGCATTAGTCATCAACTAGTCAGTAACTCCCATATCACAATGAAGTCCTACATCTACTGAGCACAAACTTAATATAATAAACAGTAAAAAAAGAACATCCTCGAACCTTCTCCTTTTTCTGCTGCGCCAACAGAGCCTCCTTTTTGCGTTCAGATCGACTCTTCTTTTTCGGTGGTCCTTCACCGTCATCATCATCATCGGACCCAGAATCAGACTCACCACCCTCTCGAGCAGGCTTCTCTGGTTCATCTTCAAAGACATAAGTTGCAAAGTTGCACACAGGATCATGGATGCTTACTTCAAACCAAACCTTTCATATTCCCTGCCATTGAAAAGGAAAGCGAACCTTTCTTTACTTCAGGACACTTGCTTACAAGCAGATCAACATCAGCTCTTCCATACATTTCTGGAGGCCTTTCCCATACCGATGTTTTCGTTGATGGATTGTAGAAGAACACCTAACAATAAACGTTACAATAACATATTATGTGAATGCAGAGCAAGAACAGAACAATAAACAAATAAAAACATCAATGGCAGAATCGATTTACCTTGCCATCGCCGGTCCACACCACACACCACGCGGTACCGCTCACTGGTGTACTACTGATTGGGCGCGTATTATCCTTCTTTTCCTCTCTTTTCGGTTGCTGATGTTGTTGTTGTTGTTGGTTGGCTTGGTTTTTGCTCTGCAGCTAAGTATTAAAAGAAAATGTTAATGAAATGCTACAGAACTACCACGGACACAGATAAATCTCTATGAAATATATTGATCAATTACAAACTTCTATACAATGATACCCTTTTCATGTGCAAGCAATGTGAACCACCCGAGACGAAACGTTGTGACTAGGCAAAATCACCATATTTTTTTTTCAAATGGCTACACCCCTTATAACTTAGGCCCGAGACTGATATCGACACTACGCTACTCGGTAGAAATATGCATAGCATGTACGTGTATTAAAAATCGAATAACCTCACGATGATACACTGACAAATTTTGATGTCTTGGCATTATAGGTATTCGAATTATGAACAAGGAAATCTGCTACGCTTATCTGATGAAAACAGCTGAAATTCAACAGCTAAATGAAAGAAATTGCTGACTGCCGTGCCACCTTCTATTGGAGCTACATTTCCAGAGAAAAATTGAATTGAGCAAAATCATAAAATTGATACTAAAACAGGGTGCTGCAAAAACCTAGAG